TGGCAGATATTTGTAGATAAAAGGAACTCACTTCCTTTTAATGCAGTTTCCAGAAAACAGCATTAGATAGAGGAACATTCAGGAGAACATGCTGACATTCTCAGTTATTTCTGCTTTAAGGACACGAGCGGATAAAAACAGCAATTTGACATTTTGTCAAACTCAGGGGGGAAAGAAAAAGAAAAAGATAAATGCAGTTTGAAAACTGTCACACAGTTAAAAAAAATTTTTTACTCAGATTTGATCTTGTTTTCCAGTACAAATCTGTAAACATGAAATCAAGATACATTGACTGGAGATGTACAGTGACTTAAGTCTCGTTTTCTGAGAAGTGCATCAAAAATAAGTGATTTTTCTGTTTGCCTTTTGAATTAGTTTTTACTTTTTCTGGCCCCGTTGGCAGATATTTGTTCTTGTTTTAAGCATAAACTCACCTCCTTTTAATGCAGATTCCAGAAAACAGTAGAAATGTAGCATTGCATCAGTGTCTCAGCAATGGATGCTCTGCAGTGAATGGGTGCCGTCAGAGACGATGCTTTAATGTAAACATGAGCGTGATGGGGAAATATGATGGAGTCTGAACTGTTTGCTCAGGTGCAGCTAATGCTCTGCTGTTGTTTTCTCTACATGCATCTTCAAGGTTTTCAGCTGTGTTCGGTCTGAGGACATGCAGTACCAGTGTAAAGGAGATCTGAAATCTAAAGGCTTTGATTCAGCGCTACGAGTTTCGAGAATAATTCAGCCAAAAATGCAAATGTGCCGATTTGCTAATCCTCAAGCCATCCAAGTCAGATTTGTAGAAATGGAGCACTGCATCAGTGTCTCAGCAATGGATGCTCTGCAGTGAATGGGTGCCGTCAGAATGAGAGTCCAAACAGCTGATAAAAACATCACAATAATCCACAGCACTCCAGTCCATCAGTGAACATCTGGAGAAGACAAAAGCTGAAACACATCCAGCATTAAGACGTTTTAACTCAAATACATTGAGTCTATAATCCATAATAACTCCTCCTCCAGTGAGTCAGTGTTCTGGTGTGAATCAGGAGAGAAATCTGCACAGATCAAGCAGCGTTTAAACAGCTCTAAACACATATGTGGCTGGATTTTGATGTGAGAGACAACAGCAGATGCACTTTTTCACTGGAGGAAGAGTTATTATGGATTATGTACGGATTAAACGGCTGATTTTTTGCTGTAATTCCGCTGTTATTCATGTTAAATGTTCTGTCTGTTCTCCCAGAGCCGCCGGTTCCCATCGCTCCTCCTCAGCTCATGGCAGTCGGGGCCACATATCTCTGGATCCAGCTCAATGCGAACTCCATCAACGGAGACGGGCCCATCATCAACCGCGAGGTGGAGTACCGCACCGTCTCCGGCACCATGTACGACCTGCAGCCCGTCGATAAAACCTCGCACAAGATTGGCCATCTGGACCCCGACACGGAGTACGAGATCAGCGTGCTGCTGACGCGGCCCCTGGAGGGAGGAACCGGGGCCCCAGGGCCGCCGCTGAGAGCCCGCACCAAATGCGCAGGTAACCGCGACCGCCTGATAAATGCTGTCATATAACAGAGGAAGATTAAAGGGACAGTTCTGTCATCATTTACTCTCCCTCGTGTCATTCCAAACCTGTACGAGTTTCTTTCTTCTGTAGGGCATCAAAGAAGATATTTTGAAAAATATTGGGAGCTGAACATTTTCAGTTCCAATTGTATTTTTGTTCGTATAATGAAAGTCAATAGGAACCAAGGAACCATCCATCCATCCATCTATCTATCCGTTTGTCTATCTATCCGTTTGTGATAATAAGTGATATATAACTGTCCATGAAGGCTGGAAGTGAAAACTCCTTATATTCAGGTGTGCATAATTATTAAGCAGGTTTTCTTTTACAGATAAAATGAGCCAAAAAAGAGATTTAACTCAGACTGAAAAGTCAAAAATTGTTAAATGCCCATAATAAGTACTTTATTTCTATAGCGCCTTTCTAAAGCAAGCGTCACAGTGCTTTACATCCAAGATAGAGAAAAACATACAGCAATTGAAAAAAACTACTACTAACCTACAAAAAAAAACCCCATAGCAAACAAAAAAAAATGCAATCTATCTGTATATCTGTCTATCTATCTATCTATCTATCTATCTATCTATCTATCTATCTATCTATCTATCTATCTATCTATCTATCTATCTATCTATCCATCCATCCATCCATCTATATAATTATTATGCAAGTTTATATTCTGATCATATTTTTTTTGATCATTTGAATTTTTTTGATCATTTCATTTTAATCCTTTATAAGTGATATATAACTGTCCATGAAGGCTGGAAGTGAAAACTCCTTATATTCAGGTTGAGAGACAACAGCAGATGCACTTTTTCACTGGAGGAAGAGTTATTATGGATTATGTACGGATTAAACGGCTGATTTTTTGCTGTAATTCCGCTGTTATTCATGTTAAATGTTCTGTCTGTTCTCCCAGAGCCGCCGGTTCCCATCGCTCCTCCTCAGCTCATGGCAGTCGGGGCCACATATCTCTGGATCCAGCTCAATGCGAACTCCATCAACGGAGACGGGCCCATCATCAACCGCGAGGTGGAGTACCGCACCGTCTCCGGCACCATGTACGACCTGCAGCCCGTCGATAAAACCTCGCACAAGATTGGCCATCTGGACCCCGACACGGAGTACGAGATCAGCGTGCTGCTGACGCGGCCCCTGGAGGGAGGAACCGGGGCCCCAGGGCCGCCGCTGAGAGCCCGCACCAAATGCGCAGGTAACCGCGACCGCCTGATAAATGCTGTCATATAACAGAGGAAGATTAAAGGGACAGTTCTGTCATCATTTACTCTCCCTCGTGTCATTCCAAACCTGTACGAGTTTCTTTCTTCTGTAGGGCATCAAAGAAGATATTTTGAAAAATATTGGGAGCTGAACATTTTCAGTTCCAATTGTATTTTTGTTCGTATAATGAAAGTCAATAGGAACCAAGGAACCATCCATCCATCCATCTATCTATCCGTTTGTCTATCTATCCGTTTGTGATAATAAGTGATATATAACTGTCCATGAAGGCTGGAAGTGAAAACTCCTTATATTCAGGTGTGCATAATTATTAAGCAGGTTTTCTTTTACAGATAAAATGAGCCAAAAAAGAGATTTAACTCAGACTGAAAAGTCAAAAATTGTTAAATGCCCATAATAAGTACTTTATTTCTATAGCGCCTTTCTAAAGCAAGCGTCACAGTGCTTTACATCCAAGATAGAGAAAAACATACAGCAATTGAAAAAAACTACTACTAACCTACAAAAAAAAACCCCATAGCAAACAAAAAAAAATGCAAGTTTAAACAAGTAAGATTTTAACTACTTTTTAAAAGTGTCCACAGAGTCCATATATCTGAGATTTACGGGAAGAGCATTCCACAACTTTGGAGCAATTACCCCAAAGGCACAGTCACCTTTTGTCTTTAATCTTGAGTGAGGATCTGTTTGGAGGATCTCAGATTTCTGCTAGAATTATAAGGTTGCAATAGCTCATTTATATAAACAGGAGCTTGCAATGCTGTAAAAACCAAGAAAAGTATTTTGAAATTGAACTAAATTTGATTGGGAGCCAATATAACGTAATCAAAATTGGTGTTATATGAGATCTCTTTGGGGACTTAGTTAAAAGCTTAGCAGCAGCATTTTGAACCACTTGTAATCGTTTCAGGGATGAATTACTGAGACACGTAATAAAAAGACAATTGCAATAATCAAGGCAGGAGGAAATAAAAGCATGTATAATCATCTCCACCTCCACTATTGACACAGATGGCCTCACGTTTGCAATGTTTCTCAACTTATAAAAACTATTTAGATCCACATTTTTAACATGTTGATCGAGACTGATGGCTTGACCCATATGAACACACAGATTACGAAGGCAAGGTTTAACAGAATGTGATAAGGGGCCAAGACTTTCCATCACCTCCACAAGCTTCTGGGTTTTTTCTTTCAGAATTTAACTGCAGGTAATTGTTTGCCATCCAGACTTTTATAGTATTAATACAGTTTAAAAGAAGAGATCATTTCATAATCTCATCGGGCTTAAAATAGATATAAAGTTGAATATCATCTGCATAGAAGTGATAGCATATACCTTGAAAAGTACTTATCAATTGCCTCAGAGGCAACAAATACAAAGCAAAAAGCAACGGAGCCAAAACAGAACCCTGGGGAACCCCACAGGAGAGAAATGCTGTTGATGAGGCATAATTCTGAACTCTAACTGAAAAAGATGTATCTGCCAAGATCTATCTATCTACCATGATAAATATGCAAAATTATTTGTATGTATTATGTATGTTTTATGCTTTTTTGTACTTTTATAATGTTTCATACAGTACGCTTTATATGCTGTATATGCTTTTTATACTATATCTTTTATGAGTTACATATTATTTTTTAGAACTCTTTAAACTTGCATGCACACACACACATTTACTATACATATTTACACTAAAACTTTGATAATATTTTATAATATGTACATACTTATCATATAATATATTATAAAACAATGTATATGTAATTATATATAATATTATACTAAAAAGTTAGTGTTTTATTGTATATTTTAGATTCTTTATACTTTCTTTAAATTATTTCTTTATTTAATTTTTTTTATGCATCCTTGCTGGTGTAGCTCTGAATGGTGATCTTTGCATCTGCACTTGAAGGCCGTCGGTGATGTTGAGTGTGTTTGAGTTCAGTAGAGATGAGCTGTGGCCCCCAGCGGTGTACTGTCCTACCTGACACACGTGTGTGTGTGTGTGTGTGTGTGTGTGTGTGTGTGTGTGAGAGAGAGAGTGAGGGTTGAGGAACTGGAGGCTGTTTCTGGGTTCTGACCTCCTGCTGAAGGTCTCACTGTTTTTCATTTCTGCAGAGCTGATGGCGATGGATGAGTCTGAGTCTCTGGCCTTCACAGCAGGCCTGCAGGGGTCTCTCT